CCAAATCAGATTAGAGTCCTGCCTTGGCCAGGTGAAAGGAGGACCGGAGAAGATCAGAGAGAGAGATTCTGTTCTTGAGGCCTGCTTCTGCGGCCTAAATCACCCTAAAATTATAACAAAAGACTGTAACAAGGGTGATTGGAGTTATGACTCAGCAACTGTGGATGAAAACCAATATGCATGTATAATCATAATATCACAGGGAGGAATTCAAATATTTCAATTCATTTAAGCAGTGGATTCCCACCCCCCACTGATTTTATGCAGAAGTGTAAAAAAAGTGATAATGTGATTTTTAAAAAGTTGATTGTTTATGATATTGACTTATGCGTTTATTATATTATCAGTGAGAACAATGAAGAGGTTTGAGGAATATAAAACCTGAATTTAGACGTACGGTTGAGTACTAAGTTTGTTTTCTGGTTCATTTGGGTCAGCATTTTATTCTTTCTTTTTGGTGTGACATTAAAGAAGAACAAGAATGGGATTCCAATAGAATCATAGTTGCAAATGTTACAGATAATAGAGTAGCTCACTGTGCAGTGTGCAATCTTGAGTGTTTCTTCAGTCAGAAAGGAAAACACAGGTTTTCTTCTGAGGCTTGATTTCCCCTTCCCCTCCGAAAGTTACTCTAGCAGCACGAGGTAATGTGTGGGTGGTTGCCAGTATGTTAAAATTTCCTATAAGTACATTTGAATATGTATTTTTATTCATTTCAGTCTCTAATAAAAATTCAATTTTCATTTAAAAACATTTTTTGAATGTCCTACTGCCCATTATGCAGCCCCTTTTGCATGTGTCTGAAGCTAGTAACTCTTTATTTCTTATCTGAAAAAACAGGCCTAGAAATACCCACATTGCTCTAATTGTGAGGGCCGAGCGAGATGAGAGTGTAGAAACACCCCACACATAGTAGAACCTTAATAAATGTCATTTTTTTTCCTTTTCCTGTGACTTGCAAGATAATCAAGGCCATCCTTTTAAATTGAATTGTGTATGGTTCCACTAGTTTTCAGTAAGTATGGTTGCTGGATATTGTTCACCATCTTAACAGAAAGCTTGAGTAGGAACTCTGTTCTCGGAAATGTAAACTACTCATCTGAAAGGAGTGGCCTTATGAGGGGTTACAGCTCATCCTTGTCTGATTTCATCTTCTGGCCCAAGAGTGAAGAGAGGAGTTTGGAGAGATCCACCCTCCTGGGCAGGAGTTTAATGGGCAATGAGTATACAGCCTTTAGTTATTAGATTTGTATATCAGCCTTTCCATATCGGTCTGTCTCCTTCAGTACTTAGCAGTCAAACCCACATGATGAGAAGGGCCAGCGTGCACACCTTTGGAGAAGCAAGGACGTGAACAGCAAGGGAGGGAGGGCTTGTGGCCCTTGGCAGCCATGCTTTAGGGTAGGAGTAAAGAGTAAATCTACAAGACTTAGGAATAAATGGTATCCCTTGAAAAAGAAAAGGAAAATAGGCTAAGTCCTTGGGGACAGAAGTAGGTAGATCCTACGACCTGAGTTGGGCACAGGGAGTCCTGGGACTTATGGAAAACTCCAGGTAGTTCCCTGACCATATTGATTGGGGTTATTTGTTTTCAGCACATGAAGACAGTCTCGTGGCATATGAGTCTCAGAGCTGGGGGGTATCAGATGCTGAGAGTGGCCCAAAGAAATTGACCCTGAAGCCAGGCCCCAGAGGGGAGCCTGATAAGATCCAGTTCTGTTAAGATTGCTCTTAAAATATTAAATAGTTCTAAGCAGGAGGTGATAGGGTCTGATTATGTGTTGAAAACTTGTTCTGGCTAATGAGTGGGGAATGGATTATAGGGATAAGAGGAGAACCAGGGAGACATGTTGGGGAGTCTAGCCCATGTGAGTGGCTTGGTTTAGGATTTACTAAGTTTGAGAAAGTGTCTTCTCTGCTAACCACCTGATGCTTACAAATTTGATTCAATAAGGTTAGTGGTTTTAGTATTATTACAGTCAGCCCTCTGTATCCACAGGTTCCACAACCACGGACTCAACCAACCATAGATTGGAAATATTCAAAAGCAACAAAAAATGACAATACAACAATAAAAATAATACAAATTAAAAATACAGGAATTTGAAACCAGACTGAGCAAGAGCAAGAGCAAGACTCCGTCTCTACTAAAAATAGAAAGAAATTAATTGGCCAACTAAAAACATATAGAAAAAATTAGCCAGGCATCATGGCACGTGCCTGTATTCCCAGCTACTCAGGAGGTTGAAGCAGAAGGATCGCTTGAGCCCAGGAGTTTGAGGTTGCTGTGAGCTGGGCTGATGCCACAGCACTTATATTCCGGGTAACAGAGTGAGACTCTGTCTCGGAATAAAAATAAAAAAAAGACAAATTAAAAACAATACAGTATAACAACTATTTACATTGAATTAGGTATTATAAGTAATCTAGGATAATTTAAAGTATAGAAGAGGATATGCATCAGTGTTATGCAAATACTTTACCATTTTATATTAGGGACTTGAGCAACCACAGATTTTCGTATCCACAGAAGGTCCTGGAAAAAATCCCCTACAGATACCAGGGTACCACTGTACTCCTTTCACATCTGAGAACCAATTATTAAAGTTCAGGGTGGGTAAGTTTTCTAAGGCCCCTTTCTGAATGGTTCAAATCCAGGTCTGTCTAACCTCAAAGCTAACCTTTCTTCCCTCTCCACAGTCGGAAAAACAAAAGGAAAAGCCCAGATTGTCTAATTAATAAGCAATTAGAAAGTTTTTTGACCCTATAAATGGTTGTTGGATCATGCTTTCCTGTAATCAATGCTGTTTTTTGGTGGTATAGTGATTTTTATAAGTTAATATGGAAATACTGATTTAGTAAAGGGCTTTGCCATTTGAATATTTTGAGGACTTTAAATATAGATTTGACAATATAGGAATCATGATCAAGAAAGTGGCTTAAAACAATAAATTCAAGGAAAGAATCCATAAATGACAATTTCTAAGGTTTTAGCAGAAGAGTGATGCTACAACCTTGGGTTAATTTAATTATATCAAAAAGGAATATCAAAAAGGAGGGAGGGAATGGAGGATGAATTCATATCCTGGAGAATTAAGTAATTATATAATTTTTCTTATGATTCTAAGTGATGTTGCTCCTAAGTGTCTAATGGACACTGCATGGGCAAGTAGATGCCTGTCACCATAAAAATTAATAAAATATTAATAATATTGAATATTAAAATGTTGAATGCTAATTGATAAATTTTGCATAATGTAGACTAAAACCACTTCAGTTTAGACATAGTACATTGCCCATCTGGACAATATTGTGAGGTCTGGCTAGAAATGAATGTTGGTTTTTTTTTGTTTATTTTTTTGCCTCAGGTGTTGGGTCTGTTGAGGCAGAGTGCTGGGAGCTAAGTTCTCTGGCTTTGGAACATTTCCTCCTTTGGGGAATGTCAGAGTTGCTGTCCTGGTTTACAGTATTTGCAGTGACAAGTCAAGCGAGTTAGTCTTGATAATGTAGATGACAGCAGAGTATGAACAAAGGCCTGAATCCAAGGTGTCCGTAGGAGAACTGGTGGCAGAGCGTATCCCCTGGGGCTTCCCAGTGTCTGGGTGTCTTTGGTGCAGTTGCTTAGAGGAATTTGTGTGTCTGGAACACAGTAGACACTCAATTAAAAAAAAACCTCACAAATCTGGAGCTTACTCTATTTCCTAGTTATAACTTATTAAATACTCATCGTACTCTATGAGATAGGTACTACTATAATCCTCATATTATAAGTGACAAATTAAGTTGTAAAGGAGTTAAGCAACTTGCCGAGGGTCCCACAAAGAGTAACTTGTGTGGCTAGGATTTGATTTGAGAAGGTCTGACACCCAAGTCTATGCTCTTAATGCCTCCCTGGCTGCTTCTCAATAAATATTTGTGGACTATTAAATGTCTCATGCTGTGACTTTTCGTGGTAGAGTACTGTGTTTGGCTGTGACAGGGATTTTGGAAGCAAAGCTGTTGAAAACTTTTCTGGCATCCCTTTTTTATTTTATCTATAATATTGTTAGAATGATCACATCTGCACTCAAAAATAATAGTGCCCCCAATCTACCCTTCCCCATACATTCTATTTTTTCTTCATAGAACTTGTCACCAGGTGAGATGATTTATTTGTTTTTGGGTGCCCCCCCCCCCGAGTGTAGGCTCCATGAGAGCAGGGTCTTTGTTTGCTGTTCAGTCCCCAGGACATAGGACACTGCTGGACTTGAAGTACGCGCTCAATACAAATATGTGTTTGTTTAATTAATGAAGAGAGAGTTAATGCCAAGTTCATTCGTGCCTCCAAATTGGTCATCTAATATCCTTGAGCCTTTCAAAAGGATTGCTGCTCCATCCTACACTTTCCACACTGAGGCAACAGTGGTTTAGTTGCAGTGGTCCCAAACCTTTTTGGTGCCAGGGACTGGTGTCATGGAAGACAATTTTTCCATGAACTTGGGGTGGGGGGTGGGGCGGCCCGGCGGTGCTCTGCAGCCCAGCCTGTAACAGGCCACCTACTAGTCCTGGTCCACCGCCCTGAGTTTGGGGACCACTGGTCTAGGAAGTTACAATACTAAGGCTGAGCTCTTCTAGTTTTCATGATGTATGGAAAATTCATCATGAGAAAGGCCTCTCTTACCAAGTTAAAAAATATGCTTCAGGCCTCCCAGAATCTGTGTGCTCTTGAAAATCTTTCACTCCTTATAAATCAGAATTTGGCAGGTTTCTGCCCTGCACTGCATAGGGAATTGGTGTCTATATTCAGTTTTCATTGCCCATATACCATATCCTAGGTACTTGTGTTGGCGGGGAGAAACCTTATATGTCTAGATAGGTTAGAGGGCCACAGGGACTTGTCCAAAGTGTCATTTGTGGTAAGTGACACTGCATCAGCATGGATTTTTTAAATTGGCCTTTGGTAGTCAGAATGTTTCTTGAATCATAAAACCTATAAATCTGCTTTACTTAGTTTGTTTGGCTTTTTTTTTGCAGGTTCTTGTTCTTAATGATTAAGAGCTTGGCCCTTGAGTCCAAAAGACTAGGTTCAAATCATGGTTCTGTCATATACTAGCTGGTATCTGTTTTTTCATCTCTAAATTAGGGATAATAATACTACTGTAAAGTAGAATACATAACACTTCCATTTAACTGGCTTAAGTTAAATGAGATACTATTGTCCCATTTAATTATTTCAACCACTGTATCAGTTAGGACTGGAATTAGTTGGAAAATAGTGGCTTTGATAGTTTTATTTTTTTCTCAAATAAGTCTAGAAGTTGTTAGGGCCCCAAGATGCTTCTGCCCCCTGTGTAGACTTTAAACTCGTGGTCTAAAATTGATGCCAGAGCTCCTGCCATCACTTCTGTATTCCAGATAGTGGGATGGAGAAAGGTTGGAAGAAGAGTGTGTTTCCCTCCTGGAAGACTACTAAGACTTTTTCACTATATTTCATTGACCAAAATTTGGTCATATTGCCATACCTAGGTCAAAGGAAACTGAGGCAGATAATTTTTTCATTTAGAAACAAACTTCTCTGTAACTACACTTAGCCATTCTTCACACACCTGTATCTCTCTGGGGCTGCTTCTCTTGGGTTTTTTAGCAGGGTGGTTATTCTCTGCTTTATATTAATCTTTTCTTTTCCATATAGTTTCTTTACTTCTCATACTTCTGGCTTCTTGGTAAATTTAGGTTGTTGTGATTCTTCATGGTCGCAAAGTTATTTAATAGCTTTTCCTTTTGTCTTCTCTCAGTATCACTTTCTACTTGTAACTGCATCATTTTTTCAGTATTTTTCAAGGCCAATTTTGAAGAGAGAGAGAGAGATATGATTAGGCTAGCTTTTCTCTTCCTGCTAGGCCACGCCAGGGTTGTTGGCCAGCATAAGGTAGACTGTCTGCTGGTTGAGTCAGCTGTAGCATCTTGTTTATGGCTCTTGGCATCTGAAAGGATGGGGAGACAAAACAGACTCTATAATGTGACCATGCTTAGTCCTTGACAAATGGAAATTCCTTTGGCAGGGAGTTAGAGATAAGTCTTAAAATGAGGATGCTTTGTATATTAATGTGAATGTATTTTAGGTATTTAATAGTATATAAATAGTTAATAGTTATCAATAACTGATCTCAGATTGGGAAATGATTATTTGCAGACTAGGAGGGTGTTCAAGGCATGCACCAGCAGCCCTCAGATACTTGCACATTGTGGGATGTTTCTTGCTTTCACTCACACTATTACTTTTTTCTGGAATTCCCTTTTTTTCTTTACTACCTCATACCCGGCAAATTCCTAATCTTTTAAGACTCAATTCAGGAGGTGCCTCTCTAGAAAGTCTTTCCTGATGCTCTTATAATACTGGGTTCAGTGGCCCTATTCTGTATCCCTAAAACCCTTTTTTTTTGTTTATCTCTTGTGTGCTGAACACATTTATATTGTACTTGTCTGGCTCAGGTATGTTAAATTGCTGCTCTCTCTTAAGCTTAGAAGATCACTGATACTAGAGTTTATCTATGTATACTTATTGTTTATCTAGCAGTGGCTGCTACATTAAAGATGCTCTGCAAGTGTTTTTTTTTTTTCTTTCTTTCTTTAGATTGAATTTTTTAATCCCCAGTGCCTAATCAAAAGCGAAGGAATAAATTCTTCAAAATATTAATAAGTGGCATTGATTATTTTCTCTGGGAAATTAGAAGGGTATTTCTTTTTCTCTGTTCATACTTTTAAAACAGAATTTTTAGAAAGAGAATTGTTCTTCTCTTTAGCATTTGAGACAAAATCTGCTTTTGTTTGTATATTACGTGTGTTTTTTAGTGATGCTTTGTAGAAGATTGGTGACAGTTTTGCTGGGATGAAATCTGCAAATTCTGATATGATGATTTATGCTTTCATTGGGCTCTTTTTGCTACATGACTTCTCAAATATCTGAGGTTATTTCTGTTATATGGCTTTTTAAATCTTTGTGATTGAATTTTACAGAGATAATGTGCTAACAATTTTTTTTTAACAGTTGAGGGTAATGATTCCTTTTTGAATTACTGAGTGAACCTTTGCATATCCCATCCATGGGCAACTTTAGATTGCTTGGGATGTATAGACGCTCTTGGGATGCTGGTGGCATTGTTACAACTAAAAACATTTTTGAACACGTTGAGAGCCTGATTTTATTAGCTTTGCTCCAGATGCAAATGTTTCTTTTCAGGTTGATTATTACCATCCCTTTTCATAGTCTGAAGAAGCTATAAAATAGAGGTTGAGGAGCAAAGTCCTCCACATTTTGTAAATAAAACCTCATTTTATTTTGTAATGAGTTTTTGTAAAAAGTTTCTTTTTTCCCATGTGGGGAAAATTACTTTCAGGCATACTAAGGGAGTTGCTAAATAATGCACTGTTAATGTTTTCAGTGACAACACTAACAGAAGGAGATGCCAGTTCTGAAGGAGGTGGCATTCCCAAGCGTTTATTTCCAGTCTGGGGGAGTGACTAAAGCATAATGACAGACGCGACCTTCTTGCAGAGAGGGTTCCACCCACGCAGCATTTGGGAGCTCCCATATACCTTGGAATGGGACTTCGCCCTCCCATCCCCAAACCCTGCATCTTTGCCGCCAGCTCATTGGTTCAGGGGTGCTATTGAGAGAAAATGCTGGATTTTAGTTAACCTTATTCGAAAATAGATAATCTAAGCTAGGGTCTCATTTTGAAGGGGTTTTATTACTCCCCTACCCCCTTTCTTGTTTCACCAGTTTAATATATTACTCCCAAGACTCTGAAGAGTTGGTGCTTGGCTATATTAACTTTGTTTTCATCAAAAGCAAAATTATAGAGCAGAAAATAAGAAAATATGACTGTCATCTTGCTTTATATCAGGATGAGGGATCATATAGGACATCAAAGTCTGAGCTGTCAATTATATTAAATATTAAAAAGCTCTCTTATAAAAGAAAAATTGTCTTTTCTCCCTCTGGAACTGAAATTACACTTTGAAAGCAATTTTTTTTGGACTGTATAATAAATAACATTTATTTTCTGCCATCTTTTTGAAGATTTTTTTTCTCCTTTATTTTCATGCTTACCTTTGACATTTCTTAGGGAAAACAACAGTAAACTGTAAGTAATCACCATTAATTTCAAATTGAGTGTTCTTTGTCTTTTTTCTGTATTACCCATTTTTTTTTTCTGTACAGCTATCTTAACAGATTTTAACCAAGCTGTGACTTGCTTCTGACACATCTTTTTTGTGCTCTTATCACATGAGGCAGCAAAGAAGATGAGTTTATTTTTGAAATAATATTCTTCTTCCTAAGGCAAGTCTAGATGTAGTTTTGTGAATGCTGATTTAAAGGCTACTGGGTCAGAGTTTAATCTGGGGAAGAGATTCATTCTTTTATTGGGAATAATTAGCTACTTATCTTTCATTTCAAGCTATGCCTTATGTCCCGGGGGTTTACGGTTACAATAGGTTCTTACAAATAGAGCTATACAGGGAAATAATATTAAGTAACTATTTTAAATTACCAGTTTGTATATCATGATCAAAGGTATTTTGGTTATGCTTTTAAATATCTCTTTATATCTGACTCCCACTAATTAGAGGGATGAGGCCATCGTTGAACATTATTGTTAGAATGAATTTGGAGTTTGGGTGAGAGACATGCCACTTGGTCTGAGGTCGGATGTTCCAAGGATAAGGCAGTATTTGTAAGGATTAGAGGTTAGAGAGGAAGAATGAGGTAAGAAGGCTAGCTAGGAAAAAAAGTTACACAAAATAAGTTGAGGGTTTTCAGGGTAATAATTTTGGCATCTCAATAACAATACTTGTACATTTGGGAATGTGAGAAGGAAGGAGTAGAAAGTAGGTTTTTAGTAACTAAAGAATAAATTTCTCCCCTTTTTAAAAGCTAAAGCTCTTAAAAAAGAGTTGTCCTCTCATGACAAACACTAGAGTACTTTCTGATGGTACTGCAGAAAACTAATTTTTAAAAACAAATATTGCTCTGTACCAGTTAGGTTGAGGGAGACACACAATAGTCTTTATAGTAGTTGGAGGTTTATTTCTATTTCATGCACAGAGTCAAGAGGAGAAGAGAATGGCAGCTCTATTGTCATCCACATCTCCGGGGCCACTCACCTGTGTGTTCTAGCTCTCCTGTCCACCATTCTCACTGTGCCCTTATAATCCAAGATTCTCACTGAAACTGCATTAAATCTCAGTGGAAAGGAAGTAGGAAAGGCAGAAGAGCAAAACAGGGGCCTGCTTAGAGTCCTTTCCCTTTAAACATCTTTCATTTACATCTCATTTCAGAGAACTTAGTTACAGGACAATGCCTAGCTCCAAGGAAGGCTGGGAAATAGTCTTTTATTCCAGGTGGCATGAAATAAGATAGTTATGTTTCACTTGGGGCAAATAACTTTTCCAGCTTACTCAGAGAATTTGTTAAATAATTCACTGTGATGTTACAAAGGTACATGAAAATAATTTCTAATGGTGTATGGGAAGAATGATGTCGGGTAAGGTGATGAACATTCTCAGTCTTCAGGTCTGAGGATGCCAGTGGCATTGCCCTGGGGTGTTTTTAGTGGTGTATTACATTCAAAATAAAGAAACCCAATGGTGTTACCATAATAATAGTGATAGCTTAGTAATAGATATAATTCCAAATATTAACTCATCAGTCATTTGTTTTAAACAATACCACCATTGAATTTTGGGAATTTTTTGAAAGTTGAAATTGAATTTAAGAACTTCATCCAACAGAGCTTTTGAGTCTGACCTTTTTTTCCCCCACATTGTTTTAAGTTATATTTTGAATGTCTATGCATATAGTCTTTGGCTTTCCAATCTTTTTCTTATCAATTTCCTTTCATCATATGGAGTTCAGTTTCTTATAGATATTGTCTGAAGTGGCAGGAGCCTTTGGTGGAATCAGTCTGATGGGACTTATTGGCCTTCACAATGCATCTTTGGAAGCTTTTTGTCTACGATGGGAACCTGGGGGTCTTATATCTCTGTTTCCTTGGCACAATAGATAAAACCATGATTGCTGAGACTTGTGCCATTATAAACCTTATGGTGAAGCTTTTACTTGTCAACAATAAACCATAATAAACCATAATAACAATGTTAGACTTTATAAAGTTAGGGTTATTTTGACTACGTACCAATTTAATGTTCTAAAAATACTCCTCCAGTTAAAGAAAGGAAAAGAAACCAATACTCATGTTTGGTATGCATGATTTTGTGAGTGGACATGCATTTTAGGAATCTGAATTTGATTTGGGAGTGAGAAGTGAATTCTAAATTGAGTGTTGCCATTGATATTCTGAGACAGAGGATCTTAGTTTTTTTCTCCAAATCCAGCCCATTCAAAACTTTCAGCATTATCTATGAGTATTTCCTTTCTACAAAGTTTTATTTTCTATCCATTATAAATAAGGATTATAGACATTTATGTTATAATAAGAATTGAACTGAAAAAGTAAGTGCTTATAAAACCGTAGCAAAACTGTAGCAAAACTGTAGCAAAGAATTTATCATTAAAATTGGATATTAGAGCAAGATTTAAAAGAAATAAAATGAAGTCACTACAATAAATTACATTCCTTAAACGATACTATTGTATTAGAGGATGAACTGTCTGCTTTATAGTCCGGTGATAAAGTGGTATGCCTCATACTTTATTATACCTCTCTTGTTGAACTAGCCTAGAAAAGGCATGTAGAAGGAAAATATTCAACCATGTGCTCATAAAGCAGTTGTCAGAATATATCAGATTTTCTTTAAAGAGGGAAACGAGAGCAAAGGGAATGAGGCCAGTTCTTTGGTACAAACATTTAGTTGTAATCTCTTCTTATTTTAATCTTATAGAGAATGTCTGAATGTATCCAGATCTCAATTGCTGTTTGTAGAATTGGCATTTACACGGTAAGCAATGTATATTTTTGTGGTACCAAATGTTATGAAAAATAAATGAAGAACCGAGTGTTGGAAAGCATGTAGAGCAATGGTAGTTGTCCTCCACTACTGGTGGGACTATAGATTTTTATAGCTACTTTGGAAAATAATACAGTGAATGAGAACATATCCTATGACTGAGCAATTCCAGTCCTAGGTATATATACCTCAGAGAAATTGTTGTGTAGTTACAAGAAGACCTCTGTAGGAAATGTTTCTAGCAGAAGTATTCATAAAAGCAAAATGTTAGAAACAATATGAATATCCATCAATGATAGACTGGATTAAATAAATTATGGAATTTTAATTTAATAGGTTATAATGCTGCAGCAAAAATATATGATCTAAAAAATTTGTATGAATTACAGCTTATAACAACACACACCTCATTCATATTGTTGAATGAACGAAACAAGTCACAGGAAAATACATGAAGTATGATTTCATTTCTACAAAGTTTAATCACAGCAAAATGAAGCTATGTATTGTTTTAGGGTTACATGTATACCTATATAGGTAGATAAATTATAAAAGAAAGCAAAAATTCAGGTTGTAGTTACCTCTAGGGCAGCAGTGCTCAACAGAGGGTGACTTTGCTCTCTAGAAGATATATGGCAATGTCTGGAAAACTTTTGGTTGTCACAACTGGTGGTAGTGTTGATATACTACTGGTGTTTATTGGGTTGAGCTAGGGTATTGCTAAACATCTAACAATGTGCTGGTTAACCACTTTGGTACCGTGCTCACCAGCCACGAAACCTTGCCCACAGCCGGCACTCATAGTCCGCATGGTAGTTTGTGCTGTGTGTTGACCACGAACCTGTTTTGCTCTTGTGTGATGAGGAAAGCTTTAAAGCACTGAAAGCTTGTTTTACTTTACGGGCAGCTTTACTTGTAATGTAAATCAGAATAGGTAACATATACATATATGTTTTCATTATGTTATTTTTAAATGTTCAAAATTTCATTTTGATAAATGAAAAATTAGAAAAGTCGTATCACGGTTGTCGGCTAAAGTCGCTGTGCGCGTTCATCTGTGGCTGTCGACTATAGTCAACGCTGGTACCGAAGTTAAGTACTTAAGAATTATCTAGCCCAAAATGTCAATTGTGAGGATGGGAAATTCACAATTTGAAAAGAATAGAGGGATTGGGAAAAAAATGTCAGTAAAGGAGTGGAGAGAAGGAAAAGTGCTTTAATAGTTACAGTAATATTCTAGTTTATAATTAGAATGGTGGTCACACAATGTTTGCTTTATGTTATTCTTTAAACTACATATTCGCTTTATATACTATTTGTATGATATATTTCACAACACAATAAAAAATAAAATAAATAAGGTGTTTGGGGATCCCCCCCCCATGTCAGTTGACTGAAATGCCTTGATTCCGTTTCTTAACTCAGGAGTTTGGGGTTGTATTTACGCGGATGACCATTAAAGGACTTTCCTAATCTCAAGTAACAAAATATCTTGACATTTTCCCTTTGAAGGCCTGGGGAGGGGATTCGGAGACACTAGGCAGGAAATACAGTGATAGTTAATATTTACTTCTAAAGACTAAATTATTTTCTAAGTAGGGGCTTAAAAAGATTTATATAAAGTAATTTTGTTTACTTACCCACCTTGCACAGAAGCACACATATATGTGTGTACAAAATGCATAAGGAATTTGTTGAATAATGTGAGAATTGTTGAATAATGTGAATAATGTGAGAATTCTGAGTAAAAGATAGGAGAACAGTTTATAAGTTCCTTGAGGGCAGGGACCCTGTCCTGTGTTTGTTTCCTGGCTTTCATAGTACCTGGCATGGCATCTGCTACGTGGCAAATGCTCAGTAGCTACTTGTTCAGTTATGTTGAAGTGAGCCTAAGTTTCTGTTTTGCCTTAGTTTGGATGTAAGAAAAAACAGATTTTCTTTATTTCTTCTGTCACCTTTTGTTTTAGCTGCTTGTCTCAGGTAAGTGTTTGTCCCCCCGTTAGGTGAACAGATTACTTGGTAGCTAAACATGCTTTTTGGTTATTTTATGTGAAGTTACTTTGTATGTTTTTCTGGATCCTATGTGAAGCAGAGGCCAAGCTGGGGTTTGTCATGCAAGAGATAAATTGGGGGAATGTGTGTGAAGGGTAAAGGGTGAAGAAACAACGGAAAGCACAGAGAGCCTTCAGACCACACCGTGAGTGTGACATCTGTGAAGGGAGATTGGGAAGGAAGGAGGGTTGAGGAGGAAGAATTTTAAACCACAGTGTAGTTCTGAGGAAGCCTTGGGTGGGTGAGGCCTCCCTGAGCAAAGGTGCCCGTTGTTGCCCATTACTGGAATTTCATGTTGGGCAAGAAAAGCCCTGACTCTAGTACCTTTCCATCTTCATGCTCAGGCACTAGCTGGCAGCCCAGCAGAAACCAGCCTCTGCTTGAATGCCATGGAGGCTTCAGTCAGTGTGCTTCTCTAGAAGGAAGATCTGAGTGGTACCTTATCATGGCCGCAGCAGCAAGCCAACACAATAGGGTATTTATAAGTACATCTAGAACCTGAGAATATTAGGACTGTTGATGTCAGGAATTGTATGCATTCATCTGTAAATACTGACCACTTAGCCTGGGCCTGAGACCTGGCAGGTGTTCAGTCTCTGTTTAATGAAGAAAGTCTGGTTGTAGAATCATTCTAAGGCAGGTAAAAATTGTCCCTAAAAGGGGAATGTGATAGTCTGAATTGTGCCCCACACAAAATTGATATAGTGAAACCTTAATCCCCAATGTGATGGCTTTGGAGATGGAGCCTTTAGGAAATAATCGGATTTAGATGAGTTCATAAGGATGGGGCCCTCATGATGGGATTAGTGCCCTTATAAGATAGAGATATTGGAGGGTTTGCTTCCTATCTCCCTGTCTGTCATGTGAGGATACGAGAAGGTGACTGTCTATAAACCAGAAAGAGCCTTCACCAGAACCTGACCATGCTGGCACCCTGATCTGGGACTTCCAGCCTCCAGAACTATGAGAAAATAAGTTTCTGTTGTGTAAGCTACCCGGTCTTTGGTACTTTGTTTTGGCAGACAAACATGGTGTGGGGGAGGGATATCTTATAAATTATAGATAAAGAACATAAACCAGAAAAACTCTTGGTAGCTCTTGTCAAAAATAAATGTTAAGTTCTAAGTAAAACAAAAGGTAAAGGAGGAAATGAAAAAAGATTATGGGGTTAGTTTATGTGATGAGAAACAATGTTAGATTGTTGACCTGAGGATTTTTTTCCCCCTCTGGGTGCTTTTAACATTATTGTAAAATAGCAGCTGGTTGAGCACTTAAAAATTAAGGAGCAAAAAGCCATATATTTTACATATTAGGAATCTGTAATCTGAAGTGAGCAAGACCAAAATGGAACATGTGAAGGACAGACACACTGAAAACTTCCAAGGTGTAAAAGCAAGTGTGTTGTATATAGGTGAATGCATATTGAACCTTAACCATTAAAAAGTTTAATAAAGATCATGACTCAGACAACAAAGGATGTCCTATGTGTGCTGTCCACCTTTTCCTCCAAGGTGTGGTGTAGGTAGACCTTTCTCTAGACACTGAAAGGCAACAATGCTTATTTAGAGGAGCTTAACTCGGGAAGATGAGGAAAATAAATCCTACCTCAGTCTACTTGGATTCATGGTACAGGTAGAAAAACTTTCACATTGTCAGTGGTGGAGTTATAATGGCTGCCAAAGCCTAGAACAAATTGAAACAGAGTAAAGCAGGAAAAACGTCTTTAGAACCGAGTTTCTACTCCAAGGATGTAACTCTTCTGCATCCTATGAGCATAGCACTGGAGATAGTGTAATGTAATATGGGGATGTATTACAAAGAAGTAATTGAGTTTCTGAAACAAAAGGAGTCCTGTTACATGAATCTAGACCATTTTGGGTATTAAACAACATTCATTAGGTTCTGGTCAGGAGGAAGGAAGGGAAGTAAATTTAGGCCAAGAGTTTATAGTACAATTGTGGTTCTATGATTGTATGAAATCCTGGCAATGAAAACAGGCCATGCTTGAGAATGTGATCTTGAAATCAATCTTCTGCAGTCAGGTGTGGATGAACTCTGGGCCAGAGAGGCACACAAGGGCATTGCTTAGGACTTCCCTTTGGAATGTCAGGGTAAGTGCTCTCCAACAGACCTGCATTTAACCCAGACATCTGAGTGAGAACTGCAACCATCGTGGAGCCAGAAGCACACTGGTGGACAACTAACTTGTCTTGCTTCTTTTGTCACATCTCCTCTAGGACTCTGACACTCCTGTCTCCCTCTTTATAAGTACCCTTGTGATTAAATTGGGCCTTCCTGGATAATCCAGAATAACCTCCCCATCTCAAGATCCTTAATCACATCTTCAAAGTCCTGTTTTCCATGTAAGGTAACATATTCACAGGTTCCACGGGTTAGGATGAGGGCATCTTGGGGTGGTAGTAGTGGTGGTGGTGGAGAGGGGGCATTTTTGTGCCTACACAAACACCAAAGAGGAAAGTATAGAGGACTCAGTACAATTTATCCTCTACTAGCAGGGGGGAAATCAGTGTAGTTGGTCTTGATGCTGGATTTAGAATGTCATCATCAAATATAACACCAAGGTTAAAAATTTGTCAGATAGACTGGAAGTCCTTCAAATGAGTTCTGCAAATATTGAGGCTCTAGCAACAAATTAAGAACAGGTTTAATATATGACCATTGGGAGAGGAGTTGTGGTGACCGTACCTGTTTATTATTATGCTCCTTGAAGATTCCATTTATTGTAGACCAGATGAGATGCTGAGATACCTGCAGTCATGATAAAGAAATGAAAAGCTCTAAGACAAGGTGAGGCACACCTTCATTAAATTCTTCTTAGTCCGTAGACTTTAATGATTGAAGTATAAACAAATGAAGATCTTGGTTTGGCTATTTTATAATGACCAAAATAATAGTGACTAGGATGAGTTTCTTTCTCATATAAAAATCCAAGCTGGTAGTCAGTTTGGCCTTTAGCCTTTAGCTTCAGGAGTACATTAGGGGCTCGGGCTCCTTTTAGCTTGTTGTTCTTCCATGACTTCAGTTATTCCGCTCACATGCATGTTGCAGGGGGCTCACCACTCCAACATCTTTGTTTCTCCTGCAGGAAAGAGAAAGTGGAGGCCGAGTAGTTCCTTTTTGTGGGCATGACCTGGAAGTTGCAGGCATCACTTCCTATCACATCCCAGTTGCCAGAACTTAAGTCACACGATGATACATCACAATGGAAGAAGCTTGGAGTGTGGAATCTAGTGAGGATCCAAGACTCTGGGGGTGGGGGGAGAGTTCTATTCCTCAAAGGAGTAGAGAATGGACATAGGATGACAGTCATCTCTTTCGCAAGGAAGTGAGCCAAGGCAGATTGATCTGAGGCCTCAGTGCAGTATACCTCACCTCAAGGACAGTGTATATACAGGGTTGCCTGTAGCCATTGTCAGGCACAGATTGAATGAGCACATAGTGTGGCAGCAAGACCGATTTTGTGTTGTGTGACAAATCCAGCTTCTGGTTGGATTAATAACTTGAGACTCTATGGGCCAAGATCGAATCTAGTGTTTTATTTATGATATCAATGTATAATATGTGTTTTTGCCCATAGATACATGCACACATGTGGTTAGAGTTGTTCCTGACAATTTTTTGGGGGGGAGGGGGTGTAAACGAGAGGTTATATGCTTTATAACCTAGAAAATAAGAGTTTATAATTGCATTATTTCTTACCTTTTAATAAAAAAAAATGATCTCCGGTTGAGTAAGAATATCTGGCTAATGTTGCTAACTTTCTTGACAGGGGAATTTAAAGTTTTAGGTTTAGTGAACCTGTTGAGAGCCACAAATGTTCATTCCTCCGTCTGTCTGTCTGTCTATCTAGTTTTGAAACAGTCTCACTCTGTTGCCCTGGCTAGAGTGTGGTGATGTCTCAAACTACAAGTGCACGCCACCACGCCCAGCTAATTTTTTCTATTTTTCGTAGAGATGGGGTCTTGCTCTTGTTCAGGCTGGTCTTGAACTCCTGAGCTCAAGTGAGCCTCCTGCCTTGGCCTCCCAGAGTGCTAGGATTATAGGCGTGAGCCACCTGATCCTTCGAATCTATTAATATTTTAAATACTAAGATAGTTACACTGTGAAATACATGAGATTGATAGAACTGTCATATTTTTAAAAATCATCTTTTGAAATTGGAGCCCAGGCAAGATTGAGATGAAATCTGTTTGGTTTAGCTGTTTTATTCTGGGGAATGCAGATTGTGTCTTTTCTGTCAAGATCAAGACATCTCTACTACAGATGTTTGTGACTCCAGGACAATTCCCCTTGGGTGGCCCTGCCTGCTGAGTCTGACCCAGATGGAACCTGCTTATGCCCTGTGCTCTCTTTCTCAGTGACTGGCACCACACCCAGCCAGCTGCCATGCCAGGAGCTGGTCTCAGTCTTCAGCTCTTCCTGCCTCATCAGCTAGCCATCCCCAAGTTTGACTTCTCCCTTTTAGTTGCCATTCTACATTCTGCCGCCACCATTCCTTGCTCTAACAGCCTCCTTTGTACTCCAGAGCCTTTCACCAGGTAAAGTGCTTATATCACAATCTTAGAATTGCCTGCCCTTTTTTTTTTTTTTTTTCCTAACTCGCATTTCACTGTAAGCTCAGTGATGGCAGTGACCATGTTAGTCTTTATTTCTCCCCCAGCACCTGGTGGCTTTTCACCATCACCGGTATCTCCCCGGATATTTAGTGAGCACTTACTAAGCGCCCAGCACTGTACTAAGACCTTTATAGACAAATTCGTTGAACTCTCTATGATCTTTTGAAGAAGGTATAGCTACCCGTATCCTCGTTTTACAGAGAGGAGACTGGTCACAGCATGGTTAAATGTCTTTTCCACATGGTAGAATAAGATCTAGAGCCAGAATTTGATTTGTTAATTCTGAACCCTCAGGCACCCCACTCTGCCACCTTCCAGATATTGTTTCCCCGAAAATAAGACCTACTCATAAAATAAGCCCTAGCAGGATTTCTAAGCATTTGCGCAATATAAGCCCTACCCCCAAAATAAGACCTAATGATGGGTGTGGCTACGCAGCGTATCTGCACAACCCATGCATTTCGTCACCGAGTGGTGAAGAAGACGAGCGAGCGGCCCTTCTCATCTGCCCCATGAGAGCTCTATTGCTCGACATGAGAGATTGGGGCCAATGGTTCTAAAGGAAATAGGAGGCCGGGCGCGGTGGCTCACGCCTGTAATCCTAGCACTCTGGGAGGCCGAGGTGGGCGGATTGCTCAAGGTCAGGAGTTCGAAACCAGCCTGAGCAAGAGCGACACCCCGTCTCTACTATAAATAGAAAGAAATTAATTGGTCAACTAATATATATAGAAAAAAATTAGCCGGGCATGGTGGCATATGCCTGTAGTCCCAGCTATTCGGGAGGCTGAGGCGGTAGGATTGCTTGAGCCCAGGAGTTTGAGGTTGCTGTGAGCTAGGCTGATGCCATGGCACTCACTCTAGCCTGTGCAACAAAGCGAGACTCTGTCTCCAAAAAAAACACAAAAAACCTAAAGGAAATAGAGTCGCAAGAAATTCAAGATGGAATTCGGGGTTTGGAGAGTTATGATGATGTTCCAGAAGATGACGACTTAACTTAACTACATTTGAATAAATGTAGATTGTTGTACTGTACTTAATAAAAAATAACACATCCCCTGAAAATAAGCCCTAGGATGTCTTCTTGAGGAAAAACAAATATAAGACCCTGTCTTATTTTCGGGGAAACACAGTAGTAGATGTTCAATATGAACTTATTGAAAGTAATCAAGAATAGTTTTTCATCATTTTTTTTATCTTTTATCACTTGACATTTTTGAAGAAGCCAGTTATTTTGCAGAATTTCTTTCAGTTTACAGTTGTCTAATTGTTTCTGCATGATTAGATTCAGATTAAACGTTTATGACAAGAATATTACATAGGTGACATTGTAGCCTTCTTACTGTGTCTAATCAGGGGCACATAATGCCAGTTTTTCTCATCACTTGCGATTGATTTTTTTTTTAATATTCATAATTAACTTAAATTTCAGGGCTGGTATTTTCTAGCTATACCCAGAATTCATGGACTATATCTTATTTAGAAGCCATAATATCCCTTATTTGTTCACTACACAATCTATTTTTCATTATAGCTTTGTAGCATATTTAGGGGTCAGATAATTTTAGTATGGTTTGCTGAACTTTGGCATTTTTTTTACAATCATAATATTTTGATCTAGATGGAACCTTAGGGAGTATTTTTCCTTCATTTGATTGCATTGTTAATTCTATCCCAAGTAGTTCTTTTGGTTAGGCTGTTGGGCCTTTGAAAGTTAGGAGTTTTGCTTTTGTGTGGCCCCACCAGATTTGTTCTGTGTCACTGTCAGAGCCCTCCTTGCTCTGCCAGCTACCTTCACTTTCAAGGGTTGATGATGTGAATTAGTGGCTATCACTGCAAGTGAATTACCATTAGTGGGGAAGAAATTCTTATTGTATAGTCTATATTAACTTTATATATTATGAAATAACATTTTTTATCTTCTGATTGTAGATATCCTAATAATAATTTTAAAAAGGCACAAGAAAAAAGAGAGAGAGGGTAGGAAATTGACTAGCTACATCCTTTACAAAGGGCCTTTGTAAAATTTCTTTTGGTAGTTTATAAATTGTAGCTGTGTGGTTGGGTGGAGAGGCTTTTTTCTTGATAAGAAACATTTGGAGTCATTTAACTTAGGAACTTAAAATATTTTTAATTTTCCAACTTAAATGACATGGTGGACCTTAATTTTCAGCAAGAGTATATCTGATTGATGGAAATTTCCACTCTGGGAAATGTGCGTTTTTATGCTATTGCTTTTCATGGATGGTTGACTTTGTTTCTTGACAAATGTTTAGTGTTTGGTCCTCAGGACTAGTACTTTTCTCCTGATAGGAAAAGTAATTTGTTTTTGTCAATGGTTAAAAATTATCCTAGAATTCAGTCACTAGCCAGGATGTAGCATACTTACATCCATAGTTTGGGAACAAAATTATGTTTTAAATTTGAAGCACAGCCAATAGGTTAATATTATGTATACAGAGGAGAATTCAATTGACCCTGGTGATGGTTTGGTTTTTGCTTTGTAGAATTCAAATTTATTTAAACTGTCACTTAATATATTACACAAGGTGAATCTGAATGAGAGGCTTTATGCTTAATGCATAATGTGAATAATCAGTCTGCATTCTCTGTATTCCTTTGGGTTTAGCTAAGGTTCTGGCATACAGTAGGTGCTTAAAAACTATATGGGGAACAAATGAGCATATTAGTCAGGGTTCTCCAGAGAGGCAGAACTAATAGGATATACATACAGTTGGTGGCTTCTGTATTCATGGATTCAACCAAACATGGTACTACTCTCTCTCGTCCGAAGTCTTGGTGCGTTTGCTTTGAATGTAAAACCCTTCAAGGTACAAACCAGAGGAAAAACTCAAAATATGGTATTGGTGTTGAGAAAGTGAATGACTCTAATGTGACCAGATAACAAACCATTTTCAGTTCTTTGCTTTCAATAAAATTGAAAATATTCAAATTGACAGCTGGTCTTTAAAAATATTGACAAGTCATGATGTGATTTTTTTTTTTTTTTTACATAACTAGGAAGAAGTCAAAAGAATTTAATGACATTACAGTAGCAAAACTTATATTTTGGCCGGACACAGTGGCTCATGCCTGTAATCCTAGCACTTTGGGAGGCCGAGGTGGGAAGATCACTTGAGCTCAGGAGTTCAAGACCACATCTCTAAAAAAAAAAACAACAAAAAAAAAACTTCTATTTCCATCTATTATTTATTTATAAGAGTAAGTTTCTCAGGGCTTATATCTACATATAAAATTTTTATATCTACATATGAAAAATAGGAATAGAACTGATGCTGAACAATTATTCTAGTGATAAACAATATATATTAAAAATCCATCTCATTAAGAGATATATTACTGAAAAGTCTTTTTATATTATAATGGATTTATTAACATTTATTACATACTTTTGATCAATTGTGGACCAATAGTAATTTCAGAAACTAAATCCCTAAGAAAAATGTTAAAAAATATTTAAAACTATGGTCACAGGAAATTTAAAATTTAAGATGTCAATTATGTATACAGTTCTTTTGCAGGGAAGCATGATAAAATGATGGGTAAAATATTTACAGGCATAAAAATATGTTAATATTAAAACTCTGGGGATATTGGAAAAGATATATGAATTTGAGAAGAATAAAAATAAAAGGATATACGACTGAAGAAGAGCTTGTTCTTTTAAAAAATGAGTAATGTTTTTCAAATCTCTGATATTTAGAGAGGTTTTTCTCCATGTAAGAGCGATTAACAGCTTTATTTATAAATGTGGATATTTACAACAAGTTAGAAATTATGTCCATATGCAACTTGTCGAACTAGATGTCAACTTAAAAATGTGTGAGGGAGTTATAAATATATAGCTTTAAAAATAATTCAGAAGGTGCTGGAACAAAAAATTTTGATGGTCAGTGCTTTAAAACAGTTCTTGTAGTTCCATCTCAAGGGGTGATTTTGTAGGTCTGTATTGGGGCCCAGGAGTCTACCTTTTAATAAATATCCAGATAATTCTGCTGCCTAAAATCTTTTGAGCAACACTGATACGAGGAATGTGTGGGTTGCTAGCTAGAGTAACTGGAAACATTAAGTCCCTAGAGTTCAAGGAGGGGGAAAAGTGAGAAATTGATGAGATTTAAGAGTAGAATATGCTGTCTCCCAACCAACAACTTGAGAAACATTAATCAAAGTAAGTGCAGATGAACAAATATTCTTTTTGCCACAGGACACATGGGAGCTTATTCAATTTTTTTTAATACAAAGTAAATATAAACATAATAAAAGGTCAAGAAAGGTTTACAACAATAAACAAGGAAAGTTAGAAATCCTTGATATGTCCCTA